ATGTACATGGGTGTACAACTACCTGTTTGAGTCCTTGCTTTTATTGCTTTTGAGTATATACCTAGTAGTGGAATCTATAGATTATTAGGTAATTCTATGCTTAATTTTTTTGAGGAATTGCCATACCATTTTCCACAGCAGCTCTGTAATTTTATATTCCCATTAGCAATGCAAAAAGTTTTCAATTTTTTTACATCATTGACAACACTTTTTCTATTCTTTTCTTTTCTTTTGATCAAAAGATAAATATCTGTCAGCTGGGAAAGAAAGTATTCCTCTATTATTACTTTGATGAAATCATTCCTTCCAGTCTCTCTAGTTTCTCCTGATGCACATTTTACTGGGTAGATATTGGGATTTCTGAACATCTTACATGTTCTGTGAATATCTGCACTGAATGACATCCTTTCTTCAAAGTTTCTTCCACAATATTCATCTCTGTCTTTCTGCGCTGCATTCTGAGAAAACTTCTTGGCTTGATCATCCATAAAACTGATTTGGTATTCAACCATTTCAATTCTAATATTGTTTTTTTTAAATTGAGATTTGTAGGAAATTTGTGTGATTTATTTCACCAGTTGGGGAGTATGAATTAGTCACATCTTTTGTATTTTTTAATTGCTCTTCAGCTGACACCTAACTAACCCTTTCTTGAGGTAGTCCTGCTTCTCCCTAAATTTCACAAGAATCTAAACAGTTTGTTCCAGTCAAAGGTCTTAGTCCTTCTGTCAATCAGCTGATAGATAAAAACTTAAGTGTCATGAGTCTACTATTACTTCTGTCACTGACACAGATGGACACTTTTGAAAATTACTCTTCCACCTTGTCCATCACTGCAGTTATGCCTGCAAAAGTACAGGTCTCTGCACAAGCTTCACTGATGCATTAGACTTAATTCCAAGAATGTAGGTCTTTCAGCTCACATCCGAGCTTAATCATTATTTGCTTCCATAAGCAATTTGCCTGGATGGTTGGGTTCATAGGTATTTCTGGTCTGTGCTGCATAATATCTCATACCCAAGCCTTTCCACGTTAACGTCTCACTTTAATGTTGACCCTTGCTCACTTGTCCAATTATACCTCCTCCCATAGAGAGTTCCTCCTGGGGAAACCTGGACTCCTTTGTGCCACTGGACTTTTCACAGACCTGGTCAGAGTGGTGCTAACAACACTGAACCTCAAAAGTTAAAGAGCTGACTTTTCCTCTTGGGTAATTCTTTCTTCCTTAGGCAAATATCATCATCTTCTCTCCAGTAATCAACCCAGCATTCCAAGGTTGCAAGATTAAATGCAACTTTTGTCAGCCAAAAAAGCTTATATTGTTCTCTTTAACCTGGGAAGCAAGTTAATTGTGTCTATTCAAGTGACCTTTTTCTGAATAAATATTTGCTCGACTGGTCTAGTCCATAAATATGAAGACACTTTAGGGAATTAAGAACTTTGCATTCTACATTATCAGTTGCACTGCCACATTTATTTCAGCAATTGTGTAGAGGTTTTCAATTTCTATAAATTCTCTCTTGTACTTCACCTTTTCTTAGCAGCCTATTTTAGCTATACAAATATAGTGACCCCCCCCCCAAATCTCTCTGGAGATTCTGATTACATTATTTTAATAATATTTTTTATATTTCCCAGGAATCAATTTCCTCAAGAATTACTTCAATTTGCTCAGTTTGGTAATTCAGTTTTTCCCTTAAAAATTCCAGGGCTTCTTAATTGTTCACTTGTAAGTGAGGGTTTAAGATGATTAATATAGGTGGCCAATGTGAATACCACAGTTCCCTTGATAGTAAATTTGATTGCAAATGACAGAAGCCAAGGCTATGGTGAGTAAGCTGGGATCTGTCATCAGAGATAGCTCTCTGATAGGGTGGGTAGGAGCTTGCTGTCAGGATGCAGGAAGGTTTACCCTGTTGGCAGCTGATATTTCATGGGAGCACCACCCAACTTCTTTTAGCACCAGTACTCACTTTAAATGTCACCTATCCATCCCCAATGGCAGACTCCATTCATCCCTTCATTAGGTTTCAAACTGTACCAGCGCTGTGAGAATGGCTCAGGTGTCTAGAATGTCCCAGTTTTATTGGTCTCCCTACTAAGTGCCCAAAAGAGCATTCCTGCCTCTAGTTCCTAATTGTTATGATCTTGCGGTTTTTCCAAATTTCTGCTCAGAAAAAAGAAAGAAAAAAACTCCCTTTTTTCTCCATTACTATTCTCTTTCATTTGTATTAGCTACATTTATCAGTTCTATTTGGTTCCTATATTGATCCAATCCCATTTGCTTTATATCTTCCAGAGGTTTATTGCCTTTGCTGGTCTAACCCTTCACATTTCCTAGTGCTGGTACATTGTTTTTCTTATTTTCATATGTATTTACTCATTCCAGTGGAACTTCGGGGACAGAAAGTAAATGGGTATGCTTAGTCACCTAGGTGCACTTAGCTACCAAATGACTTTTTCTCTTTGTTATTTTTCCTTTTTTCTTATTTACTTTTAATTTTATTACTCTTTATTTAGTTTCTTTTGTTTTATGCAAATACCTTTTAAGAAGCACTGACATAGAAACTATGACTCGTTTATTTTAATTGTGTTTTTGCCATTTATCATTGCCATTATTAAACAGTGCCTGGCACATGGTAGGTGCTTAATAAGTATTCTTGAACAAATGAATGAAGGAAGGAAATTACCATCACTCTGCAGACTTCAGCTTCCTCCAAAGAAAAATTAAGAGGCCTCTGCAAGTAATAGTAAGTGATGACTCTTTTGGGCTGGATAGAAAACATTTATCATCACTTAACGGGAGGCACCAAGAAAAGAGAGGCCCCCAGGGTATGAGCAGGAATGCAACAAAATGTGACCACATAAGGGGCAACCCAATTAAAAACCTAAAAGCAGACCTTTGACATCAGAGTCTCAGGGAAGTTCAAAGCAATCATCATTAAGGTTAACAATTGACTGTCAGGGGGCTGCAGAACTGTGATCAGGCCACAGGGCAGCTGAAGGCTGAATTAGCCGAGAGCCAGATAAAACAGTCTGCCTTTAGAAGGGCATGTGTTAACACCCTCTCCCTTTTCCTAAACCTGCTTCATAAAAAACTAACCATGGGTAAAACTTGTGAAGCCACAGAGTCTGACAGCCCTGCCTGGAGAAATTCCTCAAGGTCCTGCACCCTTTATCCAGACATAAACCCCCTCTGCCTGCTTGTCCACTGGCTATAAGGTTCCAGGTCCTGTGGTAACACATACACACAGCTGGGGGAACTTGATTCCACATGCAGTCATCCGAAACAACTCATTAGCAATGACATTGCTTGGCAAAACTAAAAGTCAAAGTCATAAGCGATGTCTTTAGTGGGTTCTTTACATTTTGAATCACCTTGTTAGAAGGATAAAATTTTTATTATTCTATTTCTGAGAACCTAAGGAAACACAAGAGTTCACAATCTTCTCATCTGCTTGATATGTTTCCTGCAGTGGTCCTGATGCACCATCACCTGGAGGGCTTGCTATAGTTCAGGATGCTGGTTCCCCCACTCAGAATTTCTAATTCAGTAGCTTTAGGGGAGGATCCAAGAATTTGCAGTTCTAACATAGGAAGCAGATGCTGCTTATCCGGGGTGTTCACTTCAACTCCAAGATTTCTGAGTCTGAGTCTGATGCTTATTTTGACTCTTCAGTCTGTTTTGTTTGGGGGGCGGGGGGGCAGGAGAATGTTTTGTTTTCCTTTGTGCCTTTTGCCATGTCTTATAATTTTTTGTTGAAAGCTGGACGTAACGTATTGGATCATGAGAACTGAGGCCTTTACTGTGAGGTTTTAGGTTTAGCTGACTAGTTAGACTATGCCTAATGTCTGCTATAGCTGGAAGTGTCAGAGGCTTCAATTTCCTCTAATGACCTTATTTTTACCCCCTGTTTCCTTTGAGTTTCCCTAGAACCTCCTCTTTCAATAGAGTCTATGTCTTTCAGCTTTTTCCATTGTAATTTACTGTTATTATATAGGACCCTTATTGACAGGGTGCTAAGGTACTGGGAAGAGAAGCATTCTGTATCTTATGACTAAGTCTCCATTTTTTTTCTAATGGTCCTGAGTCCTGGAGTTGTGACATTCAGAAGTGTTTCTTAACGATTTTTCTACAGCTATGTGAGGCAGAAAGGCTACAGGGGGGCCAGCTGTCTAACTACCCTACTCCACGTTAGATGATGGTCTGACAAAGTTGTTTCCCTGGAGAGTGAGCCTTTGCCATGGAGGACACTCTGGGCATCTGTCAAAATCGTTGCTCTTGCCCTACCCAAAGCACAAAGAGATCTTCCTCTGCTCTTCACTGTAAGAACTTGGTGGGGTTCCTACAGGTAAATGCTATGAAAGTGTGAGGGCTCCCACAAGACTGGGTCCCCAGGAGTTTTTAATTTTCAAGCTTGGGCACAGTCAGTCTCCAGATATTTATCAAATACCGTGTAAGTGTTTCTGCCATGATTGGCTCCAGTGGTTGTGGTCCTGGTGAGCCGTGATTCTCTGTACTCACTTGTCTCTCCAGTTTTCTAAGCAGCAGTCTGCCCTGTCACCTCAATTCTCTGATGCATCTAAGAAGAACTGCTGATTTCCAGTTTGTTCAGCTTTTTTCTGGTTGTGAGGAGAGGAGTGACAATGTTTAAGCATGTTGGGGAGGAAACCAGAAGTCAGGACTTTGGGGGGCTATTTGAGAACCACTGGTTTAATGAGGAAATAACCACCTTCAATCAGTCAAAGAATCTGTGCAAGTTTTAGGATCTACCACATAGTAACTCCAAAACCCACATTAGTTAAATAAATCTTTGTAGCATTTATTTGCCTCCAGCTAACGCCCTTCATATCAAAACAACAGAGTAGTTTCAGAGCAGGGAAATAAGACCTACCACCCATGACTGGGAGACAGTCTCATGACATAAACGATTGAGTCACATCCTCAGGTGTATCTGCTGGGGTGCTTTTAGCTACAAGTATCAAAAAAACTTACTCCAGTTGAGGTCTATCCTAATGGGGCTTTTTCTGAAGACCCACATCATTGGAAAACCTCATAGATTAAATATGTGGTTCACTGTACCCACAGACGTATGTGTTAGATCTGTGGGGAAGAACCATGAGGCAGAGCTGCTAAAACTATGAAAGACCTAATAGTCAATTATTTTATCCTGGGTATTGGCATATCCCAACAATCTGCACTACTCTAGGGTGTGATAGCTTAGGAGTGAACATGATTTGAACTTATTCGTGTTTAGAGAGTGTCTGAAGTTGAGAACCAGGCAGTTTCATCTACTCTGATCCTGAACATAGCCTTAAAGCACATTGCTTAAAGAAACTGAATCCCAAAGATTACAGGTGGGGAATTTTTTTAAGCAGTTCCATATTCACATGGAGATTAAAAAAGCCCAACTAAGAGAATTATGGACTGACTTGACAATAGTGGATCAAGCAAAACTTATTTTCAAAAGGTCTATCTTGAAGATTATGACTCAAAGTTTGGAGGAACTAATATTACTGTGGAAGGAATCATAACATTTGAAATTCCTTAAAATAAAAATGTATGGACTTACAATTTTGCCTGTTATACATAATAAAAAAATTTTTTTAAACCCTTTACACTTAAAAAAAAGACTCACTCCAACTGGCATGAACAATAAGAGTTGTTCTAACACGGAGCATTTCCAACACAAGGGGAAGTCCAGGGGCATGGCAGGCTTTAGAGTGGTGAACTCAAAGGCTCCCTTATGTCATGCAAGGTGCAGTTTCTTTCTAAACTTCATCCTGCTATCTGCATTGTTCGTCTCATCCTCAGGTCAATTTTCTTCATGTCCCCAAGAAGTTGTGAGCAGCAGTAAAGGCTGCATGCTCCCTGCCATGTCTACTGGAAGGAAGAAAGCACTTTTTCCAAGCTATCAAAGAAACACTTTTTCTTTTAGACTAATTGGGACAACTAAAGTCATATGCTTATCCCTAAACCAGGAACAGATGCCGAAAGAAGCAACTGGTTGATTGGCTTAGGCCTCGGTTGCTGAACAATCATTTCTAAGAGGGAGGAGACACATATTTGGGTTTAACTAGTCAGGAACTAACCAAGAACTCAGTCAATTGTGTAAAACACAAATGGAAGAAAAGTGGAGTGGATTTGGTGGGGATAATCTACAATATTCTATAAAGCAGGCAAAATCTGGAAGGACCTTTAGAGCACAAAACTTTTTAACATAATTTTGACATGTGCTAACACGAGTCTAAATTTGAGAGTATTCAGCAAGCATTCCAATGACTCACCTCCAAAGCTGCTGGTATTAAATACACAAAGTGCCTTGGACATGACATCTTTAACAATCACTGAGGATACTCCTTTAAAGACATTCTTACATGAAATGAAATTCCTTCTCCCTCCTTCAAAATATTCAACTTACTGACTTCACAACTATTCAGCAGGACAAAAAGTAGATAAACTTGAGCATTTCTTTCCTCTTGGACTCCTTCAGAAAGTTGCACGGCATCGTTTTCCTTTTGTAGTTCAGCAATTTTGTTAGTGGTCTTCTTTTTTTTTTTCCTAAACTGATCATTATGGATAAACATAAAATCTCTAAATAGATTTTCCTAGTCAGTTAACCATATTCTTGGGGGAAAACATAAGGTAGAATCATTATTAAAAAGCATTCTCAGTAATACACACATCTTTATTATGTCAGTCTTTTGCCAAAAAAAAATAAGATTGATAGTAAAATCCACTTAATTTTTTTCTTCACAGAATCAAGCCATCTGCCTCAAAACACACCACCAGCCTCTGTTAGATGAATTCACACATTTTAAAGCCCCGAAGTAACCATCTGAATGGAAATTGGACACTTCTTGTCATTTAGGAAGCTTTTTTAAACTGGAAAGGCTTCTCGTTTGTTCAATTAAATGTGTGTGTATGCAATACACTTTATGAAATTTATCCCAAAACAGCAAGGGCTGAAATAACACTTGAAACAGATGGCACAGCTGCTATATTGAGAGAGCTACCCGTGGACATAGATGGAGACACTGAGGGAACTCTGAAGTACAAGTCAAAATATTGTGCAATCAAGACTCTGAACCACAGCCATTAGGGGTGGGAACTCTTTGTCAGATCCACCCCTTCCCTAACCGAGGTGCGTGGAAAGTGCTGAGATTCAGTCAAGTGGAACTTATTACACTTCTCTGGATGAATTCTTCTCTTCTCAGTTGAGCTTTAAAATTTGAAAATGCTGGATCTGCTGCCTCAGAATTTTCTCTCTTGAACACCATTTAAAAACAGAGCTACATGCTGAAAATCTCATCCCCAAAGGAATGTCACATAGTGGTATGTGCACGGCAGAGGAGGCAAAACAGAGTGTTTTGAGCTGGAGGAGCAGGTGGGGGAGGGACCACAGAGATAGTTCTCTGTGGCTCCAGTTTTGTAAGAGAGGAAACAAAATTCAAAGAAGGTTAAAAGGCATCACCTCCATCCCACCAAACTACTCTCTTCAGACTCATTCCTGGACAACTTTCACCCACATACGGCTTAATACAAGGAAAAGAAAAATGGGATGCTTTTGAATTTTATTTTACTTTGTTTCATTTCATTTTGATTAAGCCTGTCACATCTAAAAAGAAGGCATAATTTTTAATAAGGCAGATTTAGATGGCAAAGTAGAGCAAATACCAATTTTTTTCTTAAAATTGCTTTAAGGTAAAAAATATTTCACAAAAATGGAAGTATAGATGCTTTAATTTCTATCAACAATTTGTGTGTGTTAATGGGATATTTTGGCTAAATTTTTTCATTTTACATTAATCACATAGACACAATGTGCAGCTTATTTTAAAATACTAACACACTTCTACATTTTAATCTAATCAAGGAAGCAATAAGCTCTGATGCAAAATTCTTGAATTCAGAATTCTTGAGTAGGTGAAATACGTCTGAACAAACACACATACACACACACACATAAAGCAGAAACAGCGACCAGGAGGAAAATATTTCAGCATTCATACCAACAATTCTTTTTAAATGCAGCAGTGTCTGGGGTTTGAAAGTTCACACATTTCCCTCTCACTTGTGGTTTTATAGACCTGAATGTTGAAAGCAGATGCCTATAGTTTATTTCAGGGAGATCCCTGAGCTACTGAAAATGACAAATCTCAGCAATCACATTCAGGCTCCCATATTCTTCTTTGTTGAAAAGAAAAACATTTAATGAGAAAAGTAGCAAATAACTAAAGTTTATCCATCAACTTCTCTGCAGCAAGAGCTAATGAAACAGAAATGAGACTACCATGTCCATCTTCAGAAGAACTTTTCCCTAAAAGACTGTTCCTGTATCGCAGTGGGGTCCTCCTGGAGAGAGCAAATTGATTTCCTAAAACATCCTTGGCTATTCCAGGGACAGAATAAAGTTACAGTCTGACATGTCAACCTTCTACCATCTTTCCAAGACCAATCTATACAACTGGAACAAAGGAAGAATTAGGGCAACTTGAGGTCACCTCCGCAGGAAGTTTACTTAGGCCTGAACTACCCCCAACAGTTGGTTCCTTTCCCACTTTTGCCTCACCAATTATTTCACTGTGGCCCTTGTGAGTACATGGTTGTAGCCCAGTCTTTGTTTCCCTGCAAACAGAGCAGTAGTTCCTACAAAGCATAACTGCACATGACTAACTGGCGCTGACACTGGGGCGGGGAGGGGGTGGATCTCAGAATAAGGCTCTCCTGCTCTATCTTTTGCATTCAGGGGAAACAAAGAAAGTTCCTATTGCCCTGAGACGTTTCAGCCTCCGTGTTTCCACGACATAACCTTTTTGACAAGTTTCTGTAAAGAATTTTAAAATCAGAAAAGCTCGAACACATTGATCTTAAAATTTCTTTTAAGTTACTGACATTTCCTTTCTCACATAATAAGTAGTGAAAGCCAGTCAACAGCTCAGAAGTGTTTCTTCCTCTTTGATGTGGTCTTGTGTTAAAAAAAAAAAACAACAAAAAACTCACTGAAATTCATTTCTATAAAGTTCTACATTAGGATGTGTGAGTCATCCACACAAACATACACATTCATTCATATACCCATGAACCAGGGGAGAGAGAGAAAAGGAGAATTTGACTTGGAAAAACTCAGCACAGCAAACCTATCCCTCAATCATTTTTAGCATTTCTGTCTTCCATTGGTGGAGTAAGGTCTTCCCAAGGGCACCATGGAGAGCTAATCCACCCCATGTTCATTCCTGGGAGTTCTAACCTGATGGGCAGGGAACTCACCCTAAGGTAAGAGAACATTCAGGTGCTCCGTACCGTGTGGTGTTGTCTGCAACTACGTGCGGCAAGAGATGGTCTTGGGTGCTGAATTACACGGCATTGCTCAAGGAAATGCATAGACCACCATGTAAAATTTAAGTTGTGTTTCTTTTTCTTCTCTACTATATATTTGTAAGTCATCTGGTTCTATTTCTTACAAGCATGTCCAGACTTCCATACACCATTGAAGACCTTCTCCCACTTCTCCACAGACCCTTCACACAGCAACCTCCAGCCTGAACCATTGCTGGAAGATTATAACAGGAGTGTTTTTCTATGGCGTATTATACCTCAATACAAATCAAAACACAGCAACCCCATATAACATACCAATAAATGAGCCAAGTCAGACCACAGCTAACCAGGGCTTCTGTTTCTGAGGAAAACTGTGAGTTTGCTCAATGACTTCTTTTCAGTTTCCATTTCCTAACATAAAAACATGTGCCCACCTCAGAGCTAAACCTGAGCCCTCCTGCCCAGAGTTCCCATCTCCCAGGTCTTACTACACTATGAACACCACCATCTCAAATAGAGCTCTCACCCATTTGTTCCTCTGCTCCTCAATCTATAATTTCCATGTCACAGGTTAGCATATGCAATTTAATGACTCAGATTTATTTGATTCTGATACTCGGTTTTATGCTATGATTTCAAACCAACGTAAGTTACCAGGGCCAAGTTATTTCATCCTAATTTCATATATGTTTTAAATATCTTACAAAGTATGAAATCACTCCACTTTCTCCAGCTTAAACAAAAAATCTCCCCTCTCACCTCACGCTCAGACACACAGTCCTGTAGTAAAGGGTCAACTTTGAGTGAG